CAGTTGCCCCCCCCCCCCGCCCCCCCCCCCTTCACACACTTGCTGCTCAGTGTGCCACCTTTCTTTGGTGATCAGTGGGAGCAGTTTTTGTTGCAACATCGCAGGACAACCTCTCAGAGGGGAGGAAGAAAGAGAATCGGGAGAATGGGCGGCAGAAGAGGAAGGGGCAGGAGCTTTCCTCTTCATTTGTGAGCACTGTCATTTTTACAATGGTTGGGAGGGGGTTATTGCATTGCTATAATATATTTTTTTTAAACAAACAGTACAACAACCTGAATCTTACCTGGCATCAGTCTCCTGTAGTGTTCTGTACAGTCTGCACAGAAGAGTTTAGAGAGAAGGATGAAGCAGCAGCACATGGAGTCAATCAGGTGTGCTGCATTGCAGGATAATCCTGATACAAGAAGAGATCAGAGTGAAAATACATGGGTTTATTAGCATATTGCTTCTCCTTTCACTGTCTAGTTACAGGTTTGGGGTGGGGAGGTGACCTCTAAGTACAACTGGAATTGCAGCAGTTAGAGGTCAGGGTCCCGCCAGTCCCTACTGGTCAGGGCTGTGCTGTGCTGCGCAAAGCTGTATAAAGCTCAGGGCTGGATAGACAGAAAAGGAATCATTTGGCAAGTAAAGAACCCCCAAATCAGAAACATGCCCATTTAGATCCAGCTGCCTATAGAGAACCATTGGATCCGCCTAAAAAACAAACATGTGGATCTGATTGGACTGGCCATGTGAAAGGGGTCTAAAGGAGCATGAACTGAAGCAAAGAAAACCTTCTGTATTAAACTTTTATTTGATTTTTAGGGGGGAAAAAATCATAACATTGATTTAAAAAAGTATCAAACATATATAAATGACCAAAATCATTATAGTTTCCCTTTAAAACTGGCCTTATTCCAAAAAGAATATAAAAGGATTGTTTTTTTTTGTATTTTACTTTCTGAAGCATTCTAAAGTACAGACTATATTCGGTGGCACAAAGATCAGCAATACAAAAGCTGCATAGGTAGAACAGTATTGAATGAGAGTATGACCTGTGCATTGGTTGTCTAAGCCTGCCCTGAATTTAAAGCTGTATTTAGAAAAAAAAAATAATGTTGTCTCATTTTTCACCAAGACAAAACCTTTGATTAGAGAAATAAAACCAAGATAAACATCAAGAAGGATTTAACCGGTAGATTTCTTATTGTAGGTACATCCTGTGGCCTTCCAATGAAGATAGAAAATGGTGCCTTTGTGTTTTGTTCAGAGGCCGTGCTAATTTATTTTTGTTACTCTGGCTATTACTTAGAAGGACATGAAGAATTAGTCTGTCAAGGAAATCACTGGAATACCAAACCCCCATTTTGTTCAGGTACTGTTTATTATAGAGCATTACAATGAGAATCCTGTTGCTATTATAGTATAAATTAATTAAATTTCAGACATTGGTGCCTAATGAAACTGATCCTCTGTTGTACAAAAAATTGAATATCTGCATTTTTTTTATTGTATAGTAAATACAAAGCAACAGTACTCACTTTTCACTACAGCATTTAACAAGTGCTCGTGCTTGTGCTTATGTATTGCTTCTGTTATCAGTGGCTAATGGTGAACTCCAAAGAAATGTGTATATATATATTTATTTATGATAGGTATTAATATATTTCTTACAATTTATGTAGCACTTTACATACAGAACAATCACATCAGTCCCTGCCCTCAAGGAGCTTACAATCTAAGGTCCCTTTTGCACACCATACTAGCGCCAGTTTAGACAGGAGCTAATTAACCTTCCAGCATTTCTTTGGAGTGTAGGAGGAAACCAGAGCTCCCGGAGGAAACCCACGCAAGCACAGGGAGAACATGCACATCTGAATCTGTTTATCTGTATGCGGTCTTGGTTAGGAGGGACTAATATTAATGCAAAACAGAAAAATGGTCACTAGCACTCCAGATTTTCTTCAAAACAAAATCCTTTTATTTATTCAAGCCGGTCATATCACCATGCGTGGCAACGTTTCAGAACCTGTCCGGTCCCTTCATCAGGCAAACAAAAGTGATATTAATATTAATGATGGGTTAAATTTGCAGATGTTCAGTAAACTCGTTCTAAAGTTCACAAATTGCAAACTTTAATGTGAACCCCAATGAAGTCAATGGGAGGGGGAGTCTTGAAAATCAATTCTCTCAATTTTCAAGGTGAACAGTCAAGGAATTGTAGAACAAAGGACATGGGCACTGCCCTGGGAGACATGTACCAATGCAAAACAAACCATTCAGTGCAGAGCAATGCACCTAAAGTGAAGCTTTAAAGTGACATTAAACCCTCAGATTTTTTAACATAAACCAATACTGTAATGTGTGCCTTACTGTAATCCATGGTTGTTTCCCTTCTCTTTGCTGCTCTTCCTTTTAAATCCTCATGTCTTCTCATGCTTGGGGGGGGACTTCCCTTTTCAGCTGAGTGCCTCTTCCTGTAGTGCTGGCTCAGGTTACAAACCTATACAAACCTATACACAGACACCGTGTATCGATTCCTGAGACAAGGCAGTCTGCTGCAAAACAGAAGTTCTGCCCAGATAGAGAACAGATACAGATTTAAAAGGAAGAGCAGCAAAGAGAAGGGAAACAACCATGGATTACAGTAAGGCACACATTACACTATTGTTTTATGTTAAAAAATCTGAGGGTTTAATGTCACTTTAACCACTTGAAGTCCGCGGTGTTACACCATCTTCCCATCCAGGCCATTTTTCAGTATTCAGCGCTGCGGTACTTTGACTGACATTTATTCCGTCATGCAACGCTGTACTGAAATGAATTTTATACCCTTTTTTGGGGACAGATAGAGCTTTCTTTTGGTGATATTTAATCACCACTGGGGGTTTTATTTCTTACTATATTAAGGAAAATTTACAGAAAATTTAAAAAAAAACAGTGTCCCCTATATTAAATTCTAAAACATTTATTATTACCCAATTTTTTTTGTAAAATATAAAAGACGGGGTCACATCGGGTAAAAAGACACCAAACATGTCAAGCCTTAAAATTGTGCACGTGCCCGAAACCTCAAAAAACCTCAAAAAACTACATTACCCAAAATCGGCCATAGGCGACGCTTTAAAAGCTTTTACCGCTCATCAGTTTAGTGTTATCAGTGATTGATGGCCTGATTGATGGCCCTAAAATGATTGTGTCTGGAGACGGCAACCCGCTGATGCGAGTCTGCCGTCCGTCCGTTTTTTCTTAACGGGCGGACGGCAGGAGGCTAAAGATGCAAAATTATTTTACAATACATGCTTGGGACATGCACTAAACTTGTCTGTGATGTGGTGCACCTATAGGATGTACACAAACAAAAGTGACATTTAGAAGGCAAAAAACAATTGCCACTAAATTACATTTCCCTGCCGGCTTTAATTTTGTTGTAATAAAGCTCCAAAATAAGACAAAGGGCATGGAAATCTGGGCACTGAAACATTAACAATAAAAATAAGCCTTCAAACAACATGCTTGGGGCCCCCAGCCCCCGGCTGACAGCTCGGCCACCTGCCACACCCTACTCTGGCTGCAATAAACCACTGCTCCCTCCTTCTGGCCACCTCAGGTTGTGGATAAGTTAGGGGTGGCCCTGCCTGCACAGGAAGTGGTGCGCCTTTAGGATATCCACGAGCAAAAGTTACATTTTAGTAGGAAAATAACTTACTGCCACATGACATTTCCCTAATTGCCTACCTTCCCCCTCCACAGATGGATATTTTCCTTGATCTGATGGCTGTAGTTCTGCTGTTTACATGCAATGGTGAAAGTCTTTACTGAGCTGGCTGGGCCTGCGCATTTGTGCCTCCTAGACTTCTATGGAACTGTGTCCTGAGGCCAGAAACCATTGAAGATAGTCCAGTAGTCTGGTATTGGGCTTAAACGTGCAGGAGCAGCCAGAACACTGAAGACATACGGCACAGAATGTACACAAAGAACAACAATTGTGACTATCATATCGAGGTAAGTCTGCATCTGTGAAGGAGGGTGGGGTAGATTAGGTCAGGGGAAGAGGGTAAAAAGGATACATGCATATTGTTTTAAAGTGCACTCATCCTTTAATGAAAGGGAAGCTAAGGGGTCTATTCACTAAGCTGCCGAAGGATCTAGCAGTAGCTTCAGGTGATCCTTCTGAGCATGTTCGGTGAACCCGAAGCCACACGAAGCAAGCCGATGTACAGCTGATTTTAGTTTGGCTCACTTTACTTCGGGTCGGTTATTCACTCGGCTGCCTACGGCAGCTCAGTGAATAGACTCCTAAATGTACAAGTAAAGAAGCTATTGGAAGGCTTATTATGATACAAGATATTTAGGGCTGCGGAAATTAACGATTAATCCCTAATTTTTTTGATCAATCAAAATGTTTTTGCTTGGTACTCACCTCTCCGCCGCCTTCCGGGTCTTCCGAGAGTTCCGTCGGAGATCCACCCGTAGCAGTAGAATGTACGGGCAGCTGTGCGGGGAGAGGAGGCTGTGTCGGTCAGAGAGGACCCTCTGGCCGCCGAGATGAAGCAGCTGCTGCAGGAGTCAGGTAAGGCTGGGTGAAGGTTGGATGGGGAAGGGGGGGGGGTTAAACTGGGGGTATTCTAATTTGCATTATAATGTATTGCTTAGACTTGTAGTCCTGTATAGCTGGTGGTGTTCTGCATTGATGTATGATGATAATACAGCAATGCTGAATACCACCAACTATGCAGGACTGCAAGTCCCAGCAATACATTATATTAATTAGGGATGCACCTGTGCCAATACTGGGCATTTTCACAAGCAATTACCCAATACTAAACGCAGATACCGGCACTGGCGAAACTACCAGGGCCGCATCAGTCACATTTGCGACCGGGCCCTGGTGTTCCGCCAGTTTGGGGGGCCCAGAGAGGCCAGAACACTGACATTGATTTGCCATGTGTTCCGGAGATCACACTGCGGCCGGGGGGCATGCATGCGTTGCCATTGACTTTAATGCAACAACACGCCCCCTCCCGCCCCAGAATGCAGTGAGGCCGCCGGGATGCGATCCAGTGCGTTCCAGCACGAATCGGGCCGGAACGCACTGGAGCTGGTGTGAACTAGCCCTGAAAGTCATAACATACATAGAGGGGAATTTATCAAAACTGGAGCAGACAGAATCTGGAGCAGTTACCTATGGCAGCCAATCAGCATCCACCTTTTATTTTTAAACCTTAACTGAACAAACTGAAGAGAGTTGTCATAGGCAACTGCTCCAGATACTTTTCCTTCCGTTTTGATAAATTCCCCTCATACTGTTTGAGTGTGTGTGTAGGCCAATGTAGTTGGATCGGTATGTGCGTTATAATTAATCAAAATTAATCGATTAAAAAAAATTTCGATTAATCGAACAGGAAAATTGTAATCATTACCAGCCCTAAAGATATTACATCTATAGCTGAGCGCTTTGTTTAGGTAGCAGTAGGGGTATTTTACAGAGGAGAGTTTCACACATTTAAAAGATAAGAAGGAGCAAAAACACTGATATAAAAGTCACACATCTACACTTTGCACCTGGCACCTTCTCCTTTTATTTGGTACAGAACTAACAGTAAAGGAGCTGACTGGAGAGCTCATCATATAATTGAAATTGAAGGGAGCTGTCAGTGATGCAGGTCAGGCCATAAAAAGTCATATAAAAATCAATACAGCCAAACTTTTATTAACCTTCTCACTGCTATAGGAAACTGCAGAACAGCAAGAATCCTTTCCGAGAATTTACTACTTCTAATAAAAAAACATCAGCGCTTTATTTGCCATAGAGCACTCCTGGACCCCTGTCTTGGCCCATATACCTATAGGCATAATAACATTATTTTACATAGGATTATGCAGCAGAAAAAGAACATTGTTTCGAATTATGCATGTTCACATTGTATTGAGCCAGTGCATAATGATTGGCCAATGAAATCAATAGAAGAGCATTAATACTTAACACAGGTGTTTTTTTTTTAAATTCTTTATTTAAACAAGCAAAAGAGCCTGAGGGAAGACACATCAGAATACAAACAAGCAGAACACAGTTACTGTAATTACACGTAGAGACTGTACGAACACCTCTTGATCCAACCCAACGCACAGAAATACATTAACTGTATTTGATCAAGGCATATAACCTAGCCACAGCCCTTCGACACAGGTTTTTATGTTCTTTCATTGCATTGCGATAAGTCTGTCCCCTCAAAAAAAGTGTATAAAAATGCATTGATGTCCAGTCTCTATATGTGTTGACATACAACAAATTACACAAGAATACACACATATTGTGGTGGGGGTGCTGGTAGGCACACTGTATGTAACATGTACTCTTCTTTATATATATAT